TTAGCCATGTGGCGTTGTTATATAGACAGGCTAAAATCAATTTAATAAAACTGAACCTTTCAGACTCCGTCCATCATAATCAAAATGTGTTTTAGGCTTCCTGTTAGCACGTATCCAGACTGATAAACTTACAAAAGAAACCCTTCCTTTTTGCCACCTGACATAAAGACAGGAATGGCAATAAACAATATCAGAATACACTTGCCAAGTTGCCATTTATTTATAAACAAGATTAAAGCAACAAGATAAAATCAAAACTGAGAAAAAGCACGGTAAATAGGTACAAGAAGAATGGAAATACAGTAGAGAAATAGAGAATGAAAGGACATGATGGTAGCTTATTAATTAATGGACGAAACACATATTGTTATGTTATATTCATGTGTGGTTTACCAGTTATGTGGATTTTCCTTCCCTCTGCTAGCCTTGTGCATTTGAATAATCTCTTTAGTCCGTGTATTTCTACAACTCCCAAAATAATGTTTGCCATAAACTATGACATACTTAGTAAACTAAAACTGATACATAGATGAGATTTTCTGATAAGAGGACTCCTTACCAACTCTGTGACACATTTTCACTAGTGACAAAGAAGTCAGAGTAGAAACTGAGTTCAATAAATGAAGGCACTGGTCAGTTAATCGTTACCTTAGTCTTTGTTGCTAAGTAAAATTGGTCTAAATATATATAATAAATCAAGTCTACTGAGTGCCATTCATAGGTAGGAAAATGTATTCATATGATTTAAAAAAATAGGAAATCCACTGTCCAGGCCCTGTAAAGGTTTAGATTAAAAGTTCTTGACTTGAGTGGATGAGTTCAAAGCAGTAAAAAAAGGAAATTATAGAGTTCTGTCCAGCACACCAGGCATACAAATAGGATTTTACAGTGGAAATTTGGGTCTCTCCATGGAATAGATTATGAACTTCTTCTAGAAAGAGATCTTTCCCTCATACTACCTCTGTATTTCCCCCAGCACCAAAGTGCTTTGCCTGATTTCATAGCCTGGTAATCCATATTTACAATGACCAAGATCCTGTGCTATTCTCCTGAGTTCATACCACTTAGCAGCTAGGGGCTGTTTAGCAAATTACTAGCTTTCTCTGAGTTTTGGTTTGTGTCTTTGAAAGTGGGACAACAGACAGACACTGTTATAATGACCTAAGGAGCTTTATTCTCCAAAGAGCACAAAGTACCAGCGAATACTGTTATTGGTGAATGCGTAAAATTATTGTTGTCATTATATTAACTACTTGACTGAACCCACTGACTGAATAGCAGGTCATAAAAAATAAGACTTTCAAGAACTGATCCCCCTTAACCTGAGAATTTGTTATTAAAAAAAAAAAAATAGGGGCCTAACTTCACATTAGGCATTGCCCTGACCTACTAAAGCACACCTTACAAATTTTTTTGATTATTTTTCCTCAAGGCCAACATTTAATATGAACAGAGCCAAATATATCTGAGAATGAGAGAAGCACTGATGTCCCAGACTGTTGATAAATAGGTGGCAAAAAATGGGAGAGAATGGCTTTGGTGACAGGACAGAAATGGCACATTACTCGGACAGGTGTACAATGAGCCCTGAGTTTAGTGTCCTCTCGTTTCAGATCTCTTTCAAAGTCCCACCAACAGCACAACCTTTGACTTTTCTGAAGCAACCAACTAAAGATTCAGGACCTCAAAGGACCGACACAGAGCAGGGCAGTACTCCTCAGAGACTGCATAGAGACACAGAAATGGGGATTAGCAGGAACGCAGTACTTGGTGTGGGATCGCAGTAGACCATGGTGTGGGAGTCACACTCAAGGGTTCTGCACTGATTCTCTGACATTCTCAGCCCCTTCTCAGCCCCAGCAGGTCTTTTTTGTTTGTCATAACTCTTTCTTTTTTGTTCACTCTCTTTCTCTTTGTTATCCAAACAAGGACTCAAACTAGCCATCTCCCCTGAGCTGGTAAATAGCTACAGGCACTTCTTGGAAGGAAGAAGCCATGGTATCATCCCCATCACACTTCTGTGATTCATCTGAGAGCTGATTTGCAGCTGCAGGGACACTTGAGAAATTAGAACAATTGTTGTTGAAATTCATAAGCCAGAGGAGTTGGAGGAGTGGGTTGAGGGTGACAGCCTGCAGTTGGCCATGACCTTAGAGACAAGAATCTAAGGTTCTGCGTGCTTGGTGACAGTTCCTCATCTGTGGCTTGAGAAGACTGGCCTGGCCAGTCCCATGGCACTTTTGAGGACAGTGACTAAGCCTAGAACTGGTAATGTTATTTAACATTTTGGTTCATCATCAAATAAAGTCTTTGCCTGGAATCCTTCACTTCCTACACAGCAAGACAGCCAAGATCTAACCAAAAGCTTTCCTGAAATACTTCACCAAAATTCCGGGCTACAGTAACAAACTGAGCAAAATTCGCCAGTCTGAACTTCTACTAGGTCAGAATTAGTTCCATAGTATCCCTGGGTCCATACCCACCCCTTCCTTGAAATGTGGGCAGGATACATAAAAATAAACTACATACTATACAGTTGACGCAGACTTCTTATGCTTCTGAACTTTTTGAAGGTTAGCATGGTATTTTCAAATCAGATATAAAATTAATATTTGACATCACATCCCTACTACTAGATTCACAAAACAAACACACAGTATTTAAAGATGGCTTCTAGGCAATGGTGACAATTTGCATTTCTATTGTAATAGCAGGTTTGCCAAGAGGTTTCCTGAACTTATTTAAAAATGTTCTATGGAGGAAATGAGAACTGAACTTGAAGGTCAATGAGTTATTTTTCTCTTTTAAATTTCAAATTCAAAAAAATGATATGATTATTTGATGTCCATACTGTAATGACATCCCCCCTTATGAAACCACCTCGTGTCACTTTGAATAGGTAAATTCAATAGAAAGATTTCCTAATTGGTTAGGATGCAAGAATCGTGTCTCTAATTTTAGGTAGGTAGCTGAATATTTAAAGTCTATATTCTGAATGTTTTCTTATTTTAGGGTTAAATTAAATGCACACTCATTATTTTGCTTCTTATTAGCAGCATACAATTTGGCAAAGGGAGAAGGAGATTGTGAAATTCAAGTAAAAAAATGTTTTCACTTACTAGGAGCTATGATACAGCCATGAGGGAGAAAAAGAATGAAATTTAAAAAGCTTTAGAACATTTTGGGAGCTTCACTTATCAGTAGTCAACATAGAATTAATGTTTCACTTATCTTCTCAAATCAAACTCCTTAACTATATTCTTGTATGAAGCTGAATAGGACCCTAGCTACTTCTCATTGATATAGTTAGCAAGCAAGCATCTAATCAAATGCATAGCTGATACCCACTACATCAGCTCAGGTCCTCAGATGACTACTATGTTGTAGCTTATTTTGCCTTTAGAACAAAAACTGCTGGCCTATAGTACCTTAAGGTACTATATGTGCTCAGTACCACAGTGCACCTGTTATAGCTGAGTCCTATGGTTTTGCCAGACAGTCAAGGTTAGATGACAGGAAATGTAGTCACTGCACAGAGCAAGTGAGAAGGAATCAACAGTTCCACTTAATATAGAGCTTTAACCTGTTACTAGCAACAACTTTCTTAAGGAGTCAACAAACTTTATCCTATTACTAGTCTACTATAACTTTCTTAATCCTTACTTGCATGTAAAATTCTTCTTGAGTTTTTATTTTATTTACCATGTTTAAATAGGTTCCCTAGAGTGCTTCAAGCATTTTTCATGAAGCACTTCTAGTAGAAACTTCAGCTAGCCAAAAAGAAAAGACATTGAGTTCATTGTTTCTAAAATGCTTATCATGGCTCTAAATGGATGAGACATAATACGGTGGTGAGACAGACATTTTCTATTTCTCAGCTTTAAGTCCAATATTGAATGAAGGAACCATTAGAATTAGTAGACACACACGGACAGATTACAGTAGACATCTACATAGTCACCAAGAAAGTGAAAGACCTGCACAGTGTTTTGTTTTGTTTTTGTTTGGTTTTTTGGTTTTTTTTTGTTTTTTTTTTTTTTTTTTTTTTTTGGTACCAAGAATTGAACCCAGGGCCTCCTGCTTGCCAGTCAGGCGCTGTGCCACTGAGCTGCATCCCAGGCCCCTCACTGACAGATTTATAGAGAACAGTGGATGGATAGCTACACTTAAGACAGGGAAACATCTGCTCAAAGTAGCTCATGGTTTCTATATCAAACAGAAGAAAAAAACACCGCACTGATTCTGAGACTTGTGTCTTCTTTTTTTAACTGAAAATAATACAAATTGTATTCTACTGGGCTTGTATACTTTCCTCTCATGTTCCACTAAAAGAAGATGCAGAAATTGCCACATGAGGAAATGGGAACGCTAAAAGAATATCAGACTTTTCGATGGAAACCTCATCAGCATACATGGTAGAGGGGAAGAGAAAATAATTAAATGTAATATTCAACAATAAATGGGACAATAAAAGAACCCTTCCCATTTTACATCGGACTATGTGGGCTTCCTCCATCACATCAGCCCATTAATCTCAAAGACTGAATTTAATCCCTGGAAAGACTCAGAATTCACGTCACAGATAATCATACAGAGATGAGGAAATTTTACACATGCAATCTGGTAATGAACTTCTTTGATTTTTTTTCACCCTGGTCTTTTAGTCTTAGCACTAAGTAACTCCTTGGAGAAGAAACTGAATATTATTCAGTAAATCTGGACTGTGGGACACTGACCAAACTTCATGACATGCTACCCTCACCCTTTGTCCTATTTCCAGCCCACTTTTTCCCTCCACAGAGACTTTCTGATTATCTGGTTTGGCGATCTCCGTTGCCCACTTCAGATAATGACTCAACTCTCCACTTGGCTTCTGCTGGGTAGGCTTAACCTAAGAGAATGGATGCAGAGACCCAGCACTTTCCTTTGATCTCCTAGAAGGCATTATATAATCCACCATAAATCCTTGCAGTCAGATTGACATTAACTTTCAGACTCACCAGAATATGACACTCCTCGTTGATTCATCCTGGATTCTGACGTTTTTTAATATGAAATCGGTATTTCAGTGTGTCAGTGATAAGACAACCTTCTTCATTGCCTTCTCAATAGTTTTGAGGACTTCCTTGATTAATTTTTCCCTTCTGTAACCTTAAGATTCCTTTGCCAAATGTTCTAACTGGCTATCTGCCTCTACGATTTAAATTCACAGATGTTTCCTTGTGGCCACAGCAAGTATCACTCCTCAGAGAATAAGTTTGATAAATAAAACTAGCAATAAATTTAGAACTAAAGAACTGGATAAAGAAGTCAACTGCAGGTTTACAAACTTATCCAGGGTACTCAGTTCTTTAGTATCGGTGGTGGTGGATTCTAGGAATCCCACCAACAAATTAAAGTCTTGGATAGTCCCAAAGCCTCTTTGAAACAAAATAAATCCTCTCCCCTACTGAACATATTACCATGGCTGCTGACAAGGAGAAAATTGGCACTTTTAAATTTTACTGCTTTTCCAAGTGCTGAGGGAGGAGTGAAGTGGACAGAATCCAGATGGTGCGAGAGAAGTGAAACTGGAAAATAATTTGTGAACCACATGATTAATACTCAACTACTTAATACTGCTTGTGCAACATGAATGCCACAGTGAGCAAACCTCTGCTTTCTGGCTTCTCTTTTCCTAGAAAACGTTTTTCTATGAATCTCTTTTGTTGCAAACTCAGCTTGAACTACCTATTTGTTTGAGGAATAGACTACCCAACCACCAGCAGCGATGTTTTCCCTGCAAAAGAGCTGGGTGTCACCCTCTCCCTGTACTTTTTTGCTCCAAACACAAAGGGTAGACATGAGCCACCACATAACACTCTCAGGAGCACGGCATTAGCACTGGAAATTTATTGCTACCGAAATTAATATTCTTGAGTGTACTTGGTCTTTTCTCTCAATCCCTACTCCAATAAGTCATTGCCTTTTTTTTCTTTTTGCAACTGTCTCCCCTTCTATATCCCCTTAGAACAAAAGAAAGGAAGAAAGGAAGCACAATCTTTCTCCTTATCTCTACCTTCAAATCACTGGATTCAGCGCCCCACTGACACGGTGTAAATCATTATGAGAGTGAAAGGAGCTATCAGTCTTCTGAAAAGGAGTCCTGGATCCATGGAGTGATGGCCATCTGTCTTTTACTCCCAGCCAGAAACCTATGGACTTTATGATAGTATCTCAACTGCTCAGCCTAAATGAAGTTTGCTTCAGACAAGAAGCACAGAATCACAAAATGGTACAGCCAGAGATCGTCAGTTCCCCTGGTCCACTACCTGCATCCACTTTAGGAGAGAAATGAGGCATCAAAAGTCAGAGATTTGTTTTGCCAATGTAGACCACTTATTTAATAGCTTCACACAAAGTTTAATAATCTCACTGCAATCTAATAGTCCCATGAACTATTTTCTTATGACTCTGTATCTTGTTCAGATAAAATAATTTTATTATTAAAAATATTCTAAGTAAATACTATTTTACACATTCAACACATGTTTCTTTCCAGGGTTCTCTCACTTAGTATGCAATGCATCACTAACATAACCTTTGTTAAACCCATTAGGTAGTTGCTAAACCCATTTTACAGTTGAGAAAACAGAGCAGAAAGCTTGTTTACTAAGCACATCAGTGATGGAGAAATATCTTTGGACCCCCATTCTCATTTCTTTGTCCACCAGTCATTTTTGAAATAAAATCTTCTTTATAACTGTAAACTACCATGATTCAAAACTCATCTCAGAAGATTTGTTAAATTGTTCAATTTAAGTCATTCAATTTAAATTAATAGTGCATTTCTTTTGAACTGTTCCAGTCAGCTCCAAATTAATGTACTTATTCTTCACCTGAAAACTTCAATCTACACATTATTTTCTTAAAGTTAAGCCTTTATTTCATTCCTACACCAAAATCTCTAAAGCCTATACTATGAAGTCGAAGTTCCTTAAAATGCCATTGAACACTCCATTCTTAAATTCTCTCTACCACCTATCTGCAGACTTCTTATCTGTGTTCCTGTCAAACAGGCTATGGGTTCCCCAAGCCCTCTTACCGTATCTCTGGCTTATACTCTTCCTTTTCTTTACATCTTCCCAGGGAAACATTGTCTATCCTTCCACATCAAGGTGGGAAGTCACTTCCGGCTAAAAACACCCTGTGCCCACCAGAAATCACGTCTCGTTGTGCTCCCACACCATGGAGCTCACCACTCTTAAAGCACTCACCAAACTCTACCTTTTTATATTACTTGGCATTATGATACAAAGTAAATTATAGTTAAAATTATATTACTTGATGTCATGATACAAAGTATATTGTAGTTATTATGTAATAGTTATATTGTCATACTACATCCTTAACAGACCATACCCAGGAGTGACTTCTAGACATTGAGGAACATGTCAGGCTCGATTGAATGCAACAGTTATGAACCTAACATCACAGTTAGGTACCTATCTTTATCCCCGGCTTGAGTGTGCAAAGCTCAGCAAAAGCTATCATTGCTCCTGAGGCACCTGCAGTCTGCCTGGGAACACAGTCTCCAGGACAGAGCTTCATGAATTAAGCAGGATTTGTAATTATTGCTCATTCCTAGCTAAAACTTGGAAAAGAACGTAATAGTGTGGGACAAATTGATTAAATAACTTAACCCCTAAATATGTTTGGTAGAACTCAGTGCAAGATAGGGTTTTTATACTGCAAAAAAGAAAGAAACTTGTATCTGTATTAGTCACATAGTTTTAAAGTAAAAGATATTAAAATGGCCTATTATACACAATGCAATCATCTTTATTAAGTCTCTTTCTTTATACAGTTTTAAGAAAATGGATCTTGATGAATGATTGATTGTAATAAAAAGTAGAGTACGAAAGACCATTGCTTTCTATCGAGACATACACAATTTCTTGTGAATTTCTTGGTGTCTTTATCAAAACCCTGAAAGGAAATGTCCCAATGAGATGATGTTTATGAACAGCAGAAGAGAAAGTGTCTCAGAAGTGCAGATCACCCATTCATGGGAGATCTGTGATGGGTTCTTCTAAACCAGTCTAGGGGAGCCAGTACCTTCAGGCAGCGTAACTGCCAGCCACTTAACAAGGAATTGACTCGAAATCTGCAGACCAAGAAATATCCAAAGCCCAGTGGCACACTGCTGACCCTAGTAAAGAGCAGGAATCACAAGGACAGAGACATGGTAAGTCTACTTACACTTGGAAACTCCCCAGGCTGGTTGTCATCTTGTTGTGGCCTGCTTCTTCCTCCCTGTGACTGGCAGTAACCACAAAGGGCCTGGGTACTGTCATCGAGGCACCAAGAAAAGGGTAGCTGGAAGACTGTGCCCCACTTATATCCACTCCGAGCAGGAAACGCCAAAGAACTGAGAGTTGGTGATAGCTTTCAGTGGGAGACTAACGCCAAATTCAACCACCAAAGGCGGTGATGACAGTGAAGGTCCAGGTGTACGGCCGATAGGAACCTTCATGTTTGACTCCAGAAAGCTCCTAGGAGCTTGTTTTCTTCAAATAAATCACAAAGCATCCCCTAAGGCTGCAAGGACCTTCCAGGGAGAAAATTACCATCTTCCTTCCAAAATTCCACTCACTGACCCCTGAGCCTACTTCAAGCTTGTCCCATGGTAGGGGGCTAAGATTTTCTCACCAGTGCTCCACCAACCCTGCGTACTGTCAGCTCTTCTGAACCACAAATCAACTCACTTCTCATACCCAGTGTCTAGCGCCACACCCAGGTTATCCTCGCTCACTTTTGTAACAAGAGTTTAATGTATCTAAGAAATAATTTATGCATTTCATACAAAAATTTGAATTTAGTAAAAAGATTTTTTCACAAGATTCTTTACAAACACTACTTGATTTAAACCTCACCAATAGCCACAAAACTTTTGTAAGTCATATTATTATTCCCACTTAGCAGATAAGTATGTTGAGGTTTCAAGAGAATGTAATATTTCCCATGAGCACTGCCTGCTTCTCCAAGGCAAAGTTTATGTGGGCCAGAAACTGGGAATGAAATCTATAGCAAGTAATGGCTGAGGATAAGGACTTAAGAATTAGATGATCTGTCATTTATGATGGGGCATCCCATTTTATAAAGTCTTTAGTTTCATCATTTGTACTGTAGGAATCCTATTTATGATCTTCAATGGATATAAGCATTAAACATGATAATACCTAGAAAAAGCATCACATAAAGTAAGAGTTCTCCAAACATTAAGTGCTAATATAATTGCAGTTACTGCTATCTCATGGGCACTACATATGTGTGGGCCAGCAGTAGAGAGCCTATTTCTGGTCTTTACTATCACAATGAATTAGAAATCTAACACATAAATCTTTGTGTGCATGCACTAATTGTGTTGCCCAACAACAACAAAAAAATGCTTTTCTTCTGGCAGAGCTGGGGATTGAACTCTAAGCATGGGCTTCACCACTGAACCACATTCCAACCCTCAAAATACTGTTTTGGTGTAAAAACAAATGTAAAGTATTTGTAACAGGGTTTTGATATGCTCCTCCCAGCAAGATTTCCCTCACTAACTTTCTCAGCATGAGGAGATATGACAATCCTCACAGGCACAAAGGAAAAGAATAACAGGAGAGACATTGGAAGTTTTGGGGGTGTCCCCCTCAACACTCAGTGCTTATTACAAAAGCACCACGTGGATGCTTACCTGGCTGGACTCCCCATCTTTTATCTTTCAGAGATAGTCCCCAGGTTCCATCACACGGACATCAACTCCAGACACACTGCTAATCTTAGGTTCTCTTCATTTTCCAACCGTTATTTATTGAGCACTAGACACTAGGCTGAGAATGAAAACAACTTCTCATATAAATGTTCTAACACTTGCTTGGTGTACTTGCATTTGGTTAATACTTACAAGCAGTTTAATGAGGGGTTTAATCTTGTTTATCCCATATAATTTTATCTAATAACTAGTCTTGGTATCTCTGCTTTGCAGATGAGAAATCCTAGATCAGAGGTAAAATAATATGCCTGAATTGCACAGCTAAAAAGTGGTGGAAGTTGAGGCCATGTCTCCCATGGATTTGTGTCTGTAGCCTCACTAGAAAGAGTTACCAGTGGTGAAAATCCAACAAGAAGTAGAAGCTTTGTAGCAAAAAATTTTTAGGGGTACAAGACTCTTCAACTTCTAAAGGAGTCACAGATTTTCAGTGAGGAAAAATTTTATGCTCCATAGAGAGCACATAAAACTCACTCATGGGCTAGTGGCCCAGAAAACATCCTCTGGGGTACTGCCCGAAGGTAAACTCACCATCATCCTCACAGTCTTCAGCAAAAGCCACCTGCGAAGGGTCTTCCCTTTAAAACAGCACTTTTGTAGAGACTGAAGTGGGGAGAGAGAGGCTTGCCAGCTGGTGTTTCTTTCTTAAAGATAAATGACAGAGACCCGCCCTGTAAATGTGGACAGGCAGGACCACACTTTGACCACCATTTGAGAAGCATGAGCTATGAGTTTCCACCAGCAGTGTGATGGTTTTCTCAAAGCGGGTCACTCTTCTCTTGCCCAGTTTTTCTTGTAGCCTTTCTGTGACCACAGAACAGAGTTGTTCTGTGTGCAGAGCAAACTAAATCTAAAACACCAGGCCTCAGCCCAGGCAGTAGTTCTGAGCACTGGACTCAGTGCAAATACTGAGAAAGCCTGGAGGATAACCGTTTAGCAGGCACCTACCTCGTGTGTTTCTATTGCATGATAACTTACAGCGAGTGTTTGAGAAGAAGGTAGAGAATAGCTAACTCCAAATCCAAGGCCAAAGAACACAACTGGTTGAAATAAAAGGTAACTGTTTGATATTGAGCTCACTGCAAATTTAAGACACACGAGTTTTTCCTTTCCTTGACTGCCCCAAGCAATTAAAACAAAACAAATATCTCTCAGTGTCTAAGGAAAATATTTTACTAGTAAATATAACCCTTGTAGTAAATAAAATCCTTGTATTTATACTAAAAAATCTGTACTTTTTGCATACTGTGTCTCTGATACATTATTATTTCTAATTTCTCTGAAAATTCAGCAACCTCCCAGTGTTGTCTCCAACTTCCACGGTCCTACGTCCCAAGGCCTGGTAAACAGTCTTCATGAAATATTAACAAACCTAAAGCTAATATTTGCTTTTGAGAAACAGGAAGAATTTTTTAAAAATAAAAATAGATTATGAACTCCAAAGTTCCTCTCCTACTGAATTTCTTTTGACTGTGCATTTTAAGATTTAGTTTAAAAGCCTGCTACCTGATCCTTCTAAATTCTAGCTATCTATCTATATCACACCCAAAATCAGATAAGTTTCCCAGCAACCTGAAGTTTGTCTGTAAGCGTATTAGATCCGACCCCAAAAGCCATTAAAAACTGAATCTGTGCCATGATCACAATTCCCGATTAAGCCCAACCCTTATATTAGACTCTTTTTTAAAAATTATTTTAATCATGTTGCCTTCTATGGACATTCCAAAGAGAACAAAAAGTGCATAGCTTCTTGAGCAAGCATGAAACTGACAACAAACGTTTCCTGAAATGGGAGGCATTCCTCTGACCAAAATGAAAGTATCCTGCTCTGCCTTCGTGACTACCGCGTCACTACAGGAATCGCCCGCTGTAAATGGGATACAATCCCTAACGTGCCCATGACCCTGCTGCAAAGCCATCAGTAGTTCTTTTCAGATAGAGAAAATCAAGACAGCAGGAATCAAAAGAATTTGCCAAAAATCATGGGAAATTTCAAGACACGATGTCTCGTTCATGGATTGCTAGATTCCGTAGCTTTTCAGAAAGCTTATCTGCCCCTGGGAAACAAAAAATGGCTTAGTCAGATTGCTTAGTTCAAACTCAGATAAGTTATGACACCAAAGATTAAGCAAAGAGGTAGCGTTCAAGCTGGTTCAAGATCAGTCTGATTATGAACTTCTAAAATTCCGACACATTAAAGCCCTACAGTGTCTCATGGCTGGAACTGTATCCAATAAATATACGTTATCTAGGACAGGCAGGCAGCCTGTCAGGGCTGTGCTAGCAGGGTCCACGAGTTGCCCTCTGATTCAGCTGAGCACTGCTCCCAAAGTGAATTTCCCCTGGCCCGAGTTTAGACTGAACGTGTTAACGTGGTGATCATACTTGCGGCAACTTTGCAAAATATCCCTGGAGCAGTGAGAGGAAAAGGACCGTCTTTGAGCAGGGAAGGTAAGCTCTGAGGTTCCAGCCTGCTGTACACAGTAGCGCATTACAGCAAAAAGAAATTGAGAAGAAGAAATAGGAGTACCTACTTGAGGAGAAGAAAGACCCTCAGAGACTGTCTTCTTGTGCTAGG